ATCTTGACTTCATCTAAGTCCTTACTTTCTTCAATAACAGTGATCTTAGGTCTAAACCTTTCAAGTAGGAATTTAAGGACTTTTTGAACTATTTTAGACTCAAGGATCTTCTCACTTAGGTTGAAACTTGAGTTCACTATATCATTAAGCTTTACATAGAATTCATCGAACGATTTATTGTCCTTCATTCTAATTTCTTCAAACCTAGAGGTTAACATTTGCAGTTTGGAGTTCTTAACTATTTTGGTACCCTCGTGTGTAGTCTCTAAGATATCCCAAACCTATTTAATAGTTTCATACATCCCTAAACTCCTCTCCAGAAATAGTCATAAATAAAGTTGAATCCCTTTACTATTCCAGTTGCAATCAACAACTTGGTCTTTGGTCCAAAGAGAAATATCAGTGGATGTAACAACACCAGCAATAGTGGATGAAGGTGCAATCCAGCCGTTTTGTACACTGGTCTAAATACACTCATCCAATGCTTTAAGAAATGTTATCATTCAAACTTTCCAGTAAGCATAGTTGCTTCCGTAAAAAAATGGAGGCACGAATAGAGACTGGCTCAACTATATTAATTTAAGGGCTAGTAATCGACATGTGGTTCTGATACCAATTGAAATTATGAGGTTCGACCCAAACTACACCTAGATAGGGACGAATAGGTAATTATGCGGAATTAAAAATTAATAATTAACTAGCAACAAGTTACTATTAATTATCCCTAGATGGTTAATCAAACAGTTCAATTTTCCTATATTGAAATACCGCAGTTATATGAAAACAATAAATAAACACCAGGAATGATCACAGAGAAACCCCAATTGGGTAAAAACTTTGAGTACTTTGTCAGTCAGAAATAGACTATAAACGAATTTTGAACTTTTAGTCCACCATACAGGACTACTATTAGTACTTTCTGATCTCCTGACTGCAATTCTCACAGCTCTTCTGGATTGTGTGCTCCTGCACCAACTCCTAGTTGAAGTTTTCAAAGCCCTCCTGAATTGCGCGCCACTACACCAACTCCTGATTTTATGAATTCATCTATCTCTTGTGGATCAATAAAGAGCTTCACGTTCTTCAACAACTGGAACTCCAATCACCTTCCCCTGATCTTCAACACTCTGATAGATGTGTAGGAAGTAACAGTTTGATATTTGGATTATGGATTTGATGTTTTCACCACCAAGAACAAATCACAGCATGAAGGTTGAAAGCTTATATGATGAAGAGGATATGGAGAATATGTGTTTTCTCAATGTTCAACCTTGAAAAAAAATCATTCAGAGGCGTTCTGATATTTATACTATAGGTTAAGGAATGAATAGGCCGGATAAAAAGTCTTAAAAATGCGAATTAAGATTCTTCGGATAACCATATCGCTCGAGCGAAAGTTGGGCAACAGGCGAACGATGGTGTGTCATTTGAGCGAAGTCATGACGACAGGCTAGCGACAATGTTTTTGTTTCTGCCGCTCGAGCTAAGTCATGGCGACAGTTTAGCGAAATTGAGGCGCCATTTTTCCTTCTTTTCCAATTTCGAACTCTAGACCTAGTACAACTTAATTTATAATATTTACAACTTACTCCTTGACTTTTACAACACATTAAATTTAGTCCATTTTGTTCACAGATTTACCAATTACATCAAAGACCTAACAAGTTCTCTTGTTTGGATTATCATTGGAGGCTGCACAATTGAACAATTATGTTGTGAAAAGATCGTGATTCACAAAAGTGTGCAAAGATCGTGATTGTTTGTATTCAAAAATTAATAAAGGAGTTTGCAAAATTTGTTAAAGATACAATTCCAATCACAATTTCTAACTAAACACAAAGATGATCCTTGAATGAAATTTAAATTAATTTTAAATTATGTTCATGTAAAAGTAAATTCCCGACAGAGGTACCAGGGCCAACTTTATGCTTGTTAAAAGTTGTTTTTGAACTTTGGAACAATCAATAGTTGATTGTTATTGTTTTCTTGTTTCTAACTTTTAAGAAAATTATTTTCATTTTCTAAAATTTGTCTCTGAAAAGAAAATATTTTTTTTGTCAAAAGTGGATAGATAGGACACTAGTGGCTACACGTCGGCAACACACGCTGTCGAGCGTGATTGCAGCACGCAACAGTGATATGCATCATTGCTTAGTGGCGCCTGTCGCCGCTGTTGTTGCGCAACAACACGAAATGCTGCTATATTTTAGTAATTTATCGCACTACTGCATGCGGCAAGAAGCCTCCGCTATTAGATAGCGACGACTTCTGATCACAGTAGCCAAGGGGCAATGCCGATCGTCGTCCCTAAAATCATTTTGAGTTTAAGGTTTTTGGATGATTTTGAGATGGGGCTTCTCTTGCAATTTATGAAATTGTGGGCCTCCGTTTGCAATTTTCATCCGAGGTCATGTTGTAATTTTGAAAGGAATGGCTTGTTTGAAATTTCAGAAATATGGGAAGCTCTAGCATAGTTTTAAAATAGACCAATGATTTTCAAAAAGGGCTTTGGTGGCAATGTTGAAAAGAATTAATATATATCGAAAAATACATAAGTTAATTTAACATGATTTTTTATTAAATTAATTATGCTTCTACTGCTTAATTTAAATTTATGACCCTCTATTATCAATTGTATCACCATACAACTTCTAAAGTCATTAACCTAACAACTCTTTGTATTCACACATATTATATATAAAATTAATGTGTCTAGAATATATCTCCTTGACTCAAATCTATTAGTAAAAAAAATCTAATATTCATTAGTATCAAACATATCTCTAATGAATTAGTCTTGAGTGTATTAAAAAAGTTGAGATCGATTAGTAACTCTCGTTTTTCACTATAATAATAGAAGACAAATTATAAACTTGGCTTAATATTTTAACATTTAACATGCATAGGTCTATCATAAATATTAAATATATTTTATTATACATTAACATGTGTGTGTGTATATATAGTGTGGAATATTATGAACTTATTCTATCTGGTCTTCCCAAATCTTAAGGAATACTAGTTTGTTAGTTTTTAGGAGACATAACATTGAATCATACAAAGCTCCATCTCTATGGTTTTCACTTGTTCAATTAGTCAAACTGCAACATGTATCCTATATTAGTTGAAATGCAGACCTAAAAGAATTGGACACGCAGTCCATAATAACAATAATGGACTCGCATGCCTAAATTAATAAAGGGCCCGCGGGTCCAAAACAATAAGAATTAAAACTACAAACACTTTTGAAAATCTAATTTAAATCATTTTTCAAATTTGCTATTAAAACCCATTTTAAAAATCGCATTCTGACTCATTTTAAAATTATGACAAGAGCTCCCAATTTTTTTAAATTCAAGCACCTGCGTCGGTCTTGAGCAACAAAGTAAAACCACCAAGATTTGGACTAAACAAGATTCCCAAGTTCCAAAAAACTACTCCAGTCGTCGTTAAGTTCTCTAATTTATGAGTCTTAGATCATCCAAGTGAATGGCCCAACAATTAGAGATGGCAGCGGGGAGAGTTCGAGGTGGGGCACCCCGCCTCGCCCCGTCCTGCCTTAGACTGGTGGGGCGGGGCTTGGTGCGTGGGCCTGCTCCTTTTCCTGACCTTTTTTTTTTTCAAAAATTTTCAGTTAAAGTACAAATTCAAAATTTTGAAATTCAAACTAACTACATCAATATTCAAAGCAAGCACTCGAAACAAACAATATCTAAAATTAAACATTTGTAGTTAATTAATTTTTTTTTATTCTTTATGAAGCGGGGCGAGACCTGAGACGGGGCAGCAATCCCCACCCCGCCACCCCATCGGGGCGGGGTGGATTTTTTTGCTGTTGGCGAGGCGGATTTTTTTGTCATCACTGCCAACAATATTACATATGTCAAATCAAAATTAAAATTGGAAATAGACGAAAAAAGAAAAGCACCTAATGTGAACGATTCCATATCACTTTTCTTTCACTTGTCAATTCAAGGAGAGCGATCGAATTTCTTCATCATGTGATAAACTATAAATGCCAAGTGTTGGCAAAGCAAAAGAGAAGGATATATGCCAAAGAATCTCCTATTAAAATAAAATTTAAGTCTATATAATTATCAATGAATACATAATAAGCTATAAAACTTCTTTTAATTGTTTATATAGCCATGTACTTCCCCATCTACATTCAAAGGGTGGATCCACTTTATCAATTATCCTAGTTTATTAGATTGGTTAAGTTCACATTTTTGTGTGACTATAGTCTTCCTCCAATTTTTTGTGTTTCAGTTTTATTTCTTTCTAATATTAATAAATACACAAATTTGTGATATATATATATATGCAATGGTCGGCAAACAGAATATGTATCTTTGGACGGTTTTGGTTGTCACCTTATTCACACGCTCAGATAGAAAAAAGTGCAATTCAAAGCATATGTTGTTGATTGCAATCAAATCTGGAAGAAAGACTCTTAAGTCAAACTGGGTATCAATTCGCTGTGTCATTTCACCAAACCAGAAAATTCCATAGAAACCTATATTGGCTATCAAGATTAAAATATTTCACAAGTCTCACGAGAGACGACAGAAGTACATGGAATATTAGCCTCTGTTTGGTACCAATTAAAATCTAAAATGTTAATTTAAGTCAAAGTCAATATTAATTTCAACCTTATACTTTACAGGTCTCACAACTTTTTAATCAGACATTTCATCAATTTCTATCAAAATTTATTAAAAATTTGATCTTAATTCCTACCAAATAAAGGCTAACTCACATTTCCTTCTACTCTTTAGCTTCATATATTTCTTTTTATTTTCGGCATAAAATAAATACTCCACTTTGGAGGTTGTTTTTATTAAAAAAAAAATGTATTAACTCATTTTCCTTAATTTATTATCAGTGGATCCAACAGTTCCTCATGATTCCCGCATGTACACATAAAAAGCCTATATCACTACCTCAAATCCATACGAGTACCTATAGTAAGCTGCTTCTGCTACTTACTCTATCTAGCAATGGACGCCAAAGAAACATATGGTAACAGTACAGCTCAGAAAGAAGAAGAGATAAGCATAAGAAAAGGTTCATGGGATAGCGATGAAGACTCGAAACTCATTAATTATGTTACCATCCATGGCGATGGAGGATGGGAAGCCATCGCCCGTAATGCAGGTAATCATGATCAAATCTCCTCGTCCTCGCAGAAAGTAAAAAACTAAATCAAGATCATGTCTCAACATATTTTACTACAACATTGAAACCAACCATTTTTTTTATTATGATTGATCAAGGGTTGAGGCGTACAGGTAAGAGCTGCAGATTAAGATGGTTGAACTACTTGAATCCAAATATTCGACGAGGAAACGTTACTCCTGAAGAACAACTTCACATTATAGAGCTACACTTGCAATATGGAAATCGGTATATGCAAAAACATTTCAGCATCTTTTCGTATAATTGTTTTTATTATGTTATTGATCAACTCGATTTTCATTAATTACTTAATTTTTTTTTAAAAAATAATAAAAATTTATGAAGGTGGACAGAGATTGCGAAACGGTTACCAGGAAGAACTGATAATGAAATAAAGAACTATTGGAGAACCGTTATTAAAAAGCAAGCAAAGCAGCTAAAATGTGACGTGAATAGCGTACAATTTCGTGACATCCTCCGCAGTATATGGCTTCCAAGCATAATGAAGGAACAAATGCATCCCACGTCCGAAGCTAATTCAGAATCCCAGTTGAATAGTACTGTCACTGCACTCTCTGCTGATTTTGATAACATGAATAGCCAGAAATTAATGACAGAGTCTGAAGTCCATCAAACTGGATTCCTGCCGGCGGAAATGAATTGCAAATCCAACAAGTCCGATGTTTCAGTACTAGATGATAACTGGAATTATGATTGTTTATCTGCGCTGAACTTTGGCTCTGAAGTGGTGTATAGCCCTTTCAGCTATGGTTTCGATGGAAATGAGATTCAGTCTGAGGATTCACTTACAATCTCGTTAAATGGTGAAGATTTCTGGGATTTTACATCAACGAGTTTCAATCAGTTCTGAAAGTGTTTATTCCAGGCATAACATGATAGTCTAACACTAATAATATAGGCAAAGGAATTATCTATGTCACCACATTTTGTATAAAATGATCTCCCTTTAATTAATATTTTTATCATTTAATCAATTCCTCCTTGTACAAGGTTCTCATCTACCAAACAAAAATAAATAAATAAATAATGGAAAAACTCGAAAAGCGCATCGAAGAAATCGAGGCCTTTAGAAGAACTGACATACGATGGAAGTGCAGAAGTTCATGCAATCAAGCTTATTGCTTTATATGCTATTGGAAACAAGTTTTGCGTTTGAGGCTGCTGCGGGATTTCACTGCATATTAATGGAATCATGCATAGGTAAAAATTGTAACTTTGTTTATAGGCAATGGATTGTGGAAATTACAAATGTCCACAGGGAAGTTGTTCGTAGGTTTCCAAGTACATAAATCCATTTTGTACATAGAATACATGTATCATATAGTTCAATACATGAATGTCTCAAACAATACATGAACTAACTGTTGAGTTTTTTGATACCCAATAAATTCGGACGATGATGTAAACCGGTTTTGTTTGTTGGATTATACTTCATAAGTTTCGGCCGATGACTGAAGTTGTACATCGACACCACAATTAGTTAGACGAATCCTATAACCTACTTGGGCCATTCGAAGTAGCCTAATTAAGTTAGTGTTACTCATGACACAACCCAAACTATTGGACAGCTTGTTTGGTTGATAACCCATTTGTTTGCTATCATTTGGGCCATTACCATTGCTTAACCTAAAAGCTCACTTATAGTACATATATATTTGGTGCCCCCATTACTGTTTCCATTGTGTACGAAGTGAGATAGCCATGTATTGAAAAGAAAAACCGAATTCCCTCTTTTGCTTGGTGCTTGACCGAGGCCTTTTAGTTTCTTCTTCTTCTATTGCCTTTGTGGTTGTCATTTGTGGCTATTAACCTTCATACTCCTTGCCCTTTGTGGGCATTGAAGAGCAACCGGGTTTGGGAGTTTTGGTAGTTTGGATTTGGTCTCTTTGTGGTGTCGATTGGTTGGTGAACTGAGTCCGGAAATTGGTGATTGAAGTCCTAAATTCTAACACTAATTCTACTACATAAAAATAAGGTTTATACTTTCGACACCCCCTCAAACTTGATTTAAGGTAACTCCGAGCAATCTCGAAACTTCAAACGTGCATCAATTTTCAATGACTTGATGAAAATATATGCAATTTGACCTTGAGACTTCGGAGAAGAAACTACTCCTTCCCCCAACAAACCCAAATCCCACCCTTCCCTCCGTAGAAGCAGCATTCCACTTTGGTCAATCTTATAGATAGAAGATCATGAGCCTCCATCCACGAACTTTAACATTAGATGTTCTTTGTCAATAAAATCTCAAAATAAATAATATTTCATGTCGACGTGCTTTCTTGTTATCAACAAAAATCCCAATCAATTCCATCTTAGAGATCAACATTTATTACTACGTGTAGCTCAAACACTTTTTTTTTTAATGCTGCCAAAGGTGGCACGATTTATTAATATCGGAAAAATACATAATATAAAACTTAAGAGGGGACTCGACCTGACCTCCAACTGGTGAAAAATTTCATTCTACCCAGTTTGGAGACTGGGATACATAATAAAAAATGAAAAATCTATACTTCATTCCTCCTAAACATACTCTTCGTTACCATACGTTTCTGTGTTAGTTTCAAAATCAGTAGCAGATCTCGCGAACTTATTATTGTATCCCAATTTCAAAAATACACATCTTCACAATAGTCTTTATAAATGTATCCAAAAGCGTCATCGACATATTTCTTAGTGCTTCCTTTGTGACCATATCCAAACCCATATTGATAAAATCATTGCAATTAACTATAGAATTGGTCAAGGTCGAGTACTTGCTCCCGCAATGTCATAAATCCACTTTTCCTATTTCGTTTTGTAAGTAACTCAAATCCTTATATGTTGGTTAGATTTTGATATTTAATCGATATAAATTTATCAATTAACATACCCTGCAAGATGAATGGTTTTTTGAGCTTTAAACAGATCAAATTCCTCATACGAACTTAATTGACTCTGATGGTATACTAAAACTTGAGGTTCAGTCTTAAAATGTTAATTATTTCATTTTTAATTGATGTGAGATATTACAAGTAACGACAACATCCTAAGAAGGCGAATTTTGAAACAAAGTCACATTAATTTCTCAAAAATTTCAAAATTGTGTTTTAACTTGAATGGTTTGAAACACAACTTTAGGCCAAACAATTTTATCTAACCTAATATATATAAATTAAATACCGGAGATATTTGAAAACCCAAAATTAAGTGGGCGGCCTAATGTTATGTGGGCGAAGAACAAAGGTAACATAAAAGCATATCGTAGGTGGATGAGTCAAAAAGATTCTAATTCTTAAATTACTTTTGTTTGTTCAAAAGTTTTCATACTTTTCTGCCTTTTGGAAAAATGCAAGAAAACATTGCTCTTCTGCCTTCTACAGCTCTATCCTTTTTTGAAAAAAAAAAAAAACTTCGTGAAAATGGAAAAAAAAAATGCAGGCAATATAAATATTTAAAAGATTAAAACAAAACATTTTTATATTTGTGACAAACAAAACTTATGGGGGTAAATTGAACTTCTAAAGAAATCTCAACTGGATTATCGAACTTCAATTTACTTTTAAGATTTTATCATTCCGTCACCCGTCTTCCTCCAAATAAACGAAAATTAATATTGGATAGTCATATCATAAAATAATGAATATAGCAATATCTTCATATTAAAAGGTTTTAAGGCGTCTTTTTTTTTTTTCATGACGTAGTGGTATGTTGACTTGTGGCGCGACGATTACATGAAAGATCCGTTATACAACTGTCGAAGATAATGGTAACCATCGAGTAGTGAAATTAAAAATCAAATTGATATTGCTAAAACTTCGTGACATCGACGAAATTCACTCGAAGTTGTAGCGTCATGGATTATTTTTTGGTGGCTGATGCGGCTGTGCTTTGTGAGTACGGGCTTTCTATTAGTGTTAGTCGTACAAGGATAATGAGGGAATCCACAATGCAAAAAGATATATTGAACTTTTGACCAAAGGCAGGCATTGAGACACTGGCTTGTGCCTCATCCTTAGGCTTTATCTTTTAATTTGTTATTAATAAAAAATCATGATTATGACCGGTCTCCGCGTAATGACAATGTTAAGTAATTAAGATTATGTTCGTATTATTATCCTTTTAATTAATATTGTTTCTACCAATTACAGGACAACGAGTTCAAGGAATATATGATTCTGCGATTTTTTTTAATCACCATTAACAAAGTTTTATTCCCTCGTTAAAGATATGAAAGTACTTTTATGACTTACGGGCATAGTTATAAAATCCGGTCTGGCTGGCACGAATCCTTGACAGGGTTGGACAGATTAATTTGATAGAAATGTACTTTACTCAGCGATTTACCCAGCTCGGTTAACCAGTTTGATTGAGTTTTAAAATTCTCTTACAAAATGTTTGGGTTCAAAGGAATTGAACCTTGAACCTTTAAAAAAATTGAGTTTCTCACCACTTGAATATAAAGTGTTTTAGTATTACTTGTATGCAATAACATATTTCTATCTAATGAATCATTTATAACTTTTATAAAAATGGTTAATTTCACAAACGGTCACTAAAGTTGCCTTAAAATCACAAATCAGTCACTGAAATTTAAAACTTGCAAAACGGTCACTGAAGTTTAAATTTCTTTCACAAACGGTCACTAAATTTTCAGATTTTTTGGGCAAGTTTTGAGGCAATTTTCCGACAATTTCCGACCATCAAGACCACCGGATTTGGATACCATTGGAAAGCCCACAATGTTCTCTTCAATTAATGCCAAAAATCTCTCCATAACTCCATGGGATTCGGCCGGAATATACTCACGAAGTCGGCTACCGAAAAATCTGAAAATCTGCAGATTTTTTGGGCGAGTGCGACAATTTTCCTGCAAATTCTGACCACCAATACCGTCGGTTTCGGATACCGTTGGAAAGCCCACAATGTCCTTTTCAATTACCACCAAAAATCTCCCCATAACTCCAAGAGATTCGGCCGGAATAAACCCACGAAGTTAGCTACCAAAAAAATCTGAAAATCTGCCCGGTTTGGGTAGCTAACTTCGTGGATTTATTCCGACCGAATCCATTAGAGTTATGGGGAGATTTTTCGTCGTAATTGAAGATGACATTGTGGGATTTCAAACGGTATCCGAAACTGACGGTGTTGGTGGTCGGAAATTGCCGAAAACTTGCCTCAAACTTGCCCAAAAAATCTCAACCTCGCCCAAAAAATCTAAAAATCTGGGCAGATTTTCAGATTTTTCTGTAGTCGACTTCGTGGGTATATTTTGGCCGAATTCCTTGGAGTTATGGGGAGATTTTTGGTGGTAATTGAAGAGGACATTGTTGGCTTTCCAACGGTATCCAAATCCGGCAGTCTTAGTGGTCGGAAGTTGCTGGAAAATCGTCACAAAACTTGCCCAAAAAATCTAAAAATTCAATGATCGTTTGTGAAAGAAATTTAAAATTCAATGATCGTTTCTACAAGTTTTAAACTTTAGTGACCTTTTTGTGATTTTCAGGTAACTTCAATGACCGTTTGTGACATTAACCCTGTATAAAAATATTCTTTTAAAAAACTTTGGTCCAACATTTTACTTTATTTTATAGATCTAAATAATTAGTGAAATGTAAATTAAAAATTTTAATTTTGCCCCTAAAAAAATTTATATTTTATATATTTTTTTTGTAGGTTTTTATGTAATAACCCGGTGGTTCACTGGTTGAATCACTAACCCATTGACCCGCTGCATTGTTTGGGTCGAGTTTGACAACTATGCTTAAGGGATATTTTTCTATACTAGTTTGCACTATTTAGGAAAAAATAGAATTGAACTCCCCAACCTCTTCCTTGACGAGATTATGGTTTCTCTCCAACCTAATTAAGTTTATAAATGTGAACATCCATGTACCTGAAATAATTAATTTGAACGTTAAAATCACACATGACATGAAATTGAATGAAAAATTGTCAAGCAACTTTACATTTCATTTCAATACAAGTTAAGGAGCCCAAATTCACATATTCAAATAGGTTGAAGATCTAAAACTTCATTTTTAAAGGTTTTGGACTCGTATCCATACCATGTAAAAGATTGAAGAGCCAAATCCAAATGTTACGAGTAAAGAAGATTATGAAATTCCACATGAACAACATTATTTTTGTTGTCTACTCAAATTTAAAATTGGGAAATGGAAAAGGAAAAGCATTTGTGAAATTAATTCTTACTTTTGACTAGAAAGTTACCACTTTCCTTTCACTTGAGAAAATTGGATTCCTTCACCGTATAATTTAACTATAAACGCCACTTTATCTACCTAGTGTTGGTAAAAGCAATCAAGAAAAGGATATATTCCAAGTCTTCCCTATATATTTGAATAAAATAAAACATATGAGCTAAATTTCTCTTCAATTTATGTCGGGAATCCATAGTAAGGTTAGCCTAATTTGGTGATGCAAGCCAATTATCCATGTCTAGCTGGTACTGGATTTTTGTTTGAACATCATCAAAATTACCCTTCTAAAATTACTACTTAATGATAGTCCGCACAAAATAAACACATCCCTTCTCCACGTCTTCCGTTGAAAAGAAAAATTACACACTGTCACTACAACAAATGTTATTTTTTACGGCACACGTTTACGGCATGCCGTAAAAATAGACTATTTACGACAATCCTGAAATGCACGCCGTAATAATTTAGTTACTAAAAGTATTTACGGCATACATGGATGGCACATGGATGGCACGCCGTAAAAAGTACACATTGATTGCATGCCGTAAAATGTGAACTTTGTTGTAGTATGTATCGAGGTTTACATTAATTATCTCCCTATGTTATGAATTATGATGCAAGCTCTACAATCTCAATCGTCATTGTCGCGGAACTCCAAAACCCCTAAAATTTATTTCACAATTTACGTGCAAATACAAATGTATCTTTAAATGGACTGCCTTCTTCACATGTGGATAGAGATAAAAAGAAAAGTAAACTTTCAAAGCATCAATCTTTAAGGAAAGATTTAATTATTAGTAGTGGATTATGACTAGAGTCAATAGTATCAATTCACAACCAATATTCATACTCAAGAATGGCTTTCAACCTATAAAAATTAATATTCAACTATTTAATCATTTCCTCTAATTTTATTTTAGTGGATCCAATAGTTCATCGTGTTTCCGATATAAAGCACTATCTCAAATGCATATAGGTACTAATCCGGAGCTTCTGATTCTTCTGTACCTAGCAATGGATGCCGAAGAAATATCAAGTAAGAGTGAAGAAGATAAAAGCACAAGGAAAGGTCCATGGTCTGGCGATGAAGACTTCAAACTCAAAAACTATATTGCCGTCCACGGAGGAGGAGGATGGGAAGCCCTCGCTCTTAAGTCAGGTAATTAATACTACGTAGTAAACATGCTCTTAGTTCATGTTCCAACCTCGGGAATTTAAGGAGATCGTGTCTCATAATCTTTTATATATTACGAAATTGAAACGAAATTTTTAACTAATATTACACTTGTGCCATCGATTAAGGGTTGAGGCGTACAGGTAAGAGCTGCAGATTAAGATGGTTGAACTACTTGAATCCAGATGTTCGACGAGGAAATATCACTCCTGAAGAACAACTTAGTATTATAGAGCTACACTTGCAATATGGAAATCGGTATTCTTAATTTTCAAGCATATCTTTTGTTCTTATAATTGTTCAAATCTATTTTTTTTTTCTTTTTTTCATTTCATTACTTAGTTTTTGAAATAATTAATAATGAAGGTGGTCAGAGATTGCAAAACGGTTACGAGGACGAACTGATAATGAAGTAAAGAACTACTGGAGAGTCACGATTAAAAAGCAAGCAAAGGAGCTAGATTGTGACGTGAATAGCGTACAATTTCGAGACATAATGCACTGTATATGGCTTCGAGGCATAATGGAGGAACAAATTCATCCCACTTCCCAAGTTAATTCAGAATCCCAGTCGAGAAGCATTGTCACTGCGGTTTCTACTGATTTTGATCACATCAATACCCAGAAACTAATGACAGATTCTGAACATCAACCTGGTTTCGGGCTGGTGGAAATGAATAGCAAAGCCAACATGTGGGCGTTTTCTTCCGAGCCTATAGTCAATGTCTTCCCAGTGAGTAGCCCTTTCAGCTATTGTTTTGAAGAAATTGATGATATTCAGGCTTCCATACACGGCGGAGACTATTGGTTAGGTTCTGAGGATTCACTTACAATATCGTCAAATGATGAAGACTTGTGGGTTTCTACACCAATGGGTTTCAATCAGTTTTGAGAGTTTATTTCATGAATGAAATCATATTATTGTGCAATAATAACTTAATAATATAGGTAAGGAATAATCTATGTAAACACATGTATTGTGACATTTTATATAAACTACTTTCAATTAGAGGTAGCAATGGCCCGTATGCACATGAGCCGAGCTCATGGCTCGTCTCAGCTCAGCCCGTATGCACACGAGCTCGGCTCGTGCTCGTCACGTGTCGAGCTCGTGACTCGTTTATAACAAGCCGAGTAGAAAGCTTGGCTCGGCCCGTGAGCTTGTGGCTCGTGGGTCGAGCCGAGCTTCGGCTTGCGAGTTAGTCAATTTTTTTTTTTCAAATAAACCTTTTTAAAAAAAAAAAAAAGGATATACCCTCCACTTTGGGCGCTTGCCTAGCGAGCCAGCCTGCTCTGCTCTGCTCGGCTCATGCTGGGGCTAGTCAAATGAGCTGCCCACTCGACCCGTTTATCACCACTACTTTCATTCAGTTGTAAAAGTGTTTGCCCAGGTTGTTCAGAAAAAAATCACCAACCGTGATACCCAACACAAATGTACAACGAAATTGGATTTTGACATAATTAAAAATAACGCATGTTATATATGAAAATAATAACCGGCCTCCATTTGGGAAGAATTTATAAATGGTTTAATTTATTAATGAACAAAAATGAGAAGTGGATAAATTGATAATACTTGTAGGTCCATTAAAATGTGTGGTTGAAAATGAAGTTTTATTATTTTAAATTATTAATAAATTTTGCTAAACGGAGACTTATATATATGAAAATAAATTGTTCGATAGAGGAGCCAATCTTTGTGCCCCAGTTGTCGAACCTTAATTTTACACAGAAACATAGAGAACTAATGAGACACAGCAAGAAAAATCATCCCTGAGATCATCTACATTGCTTTTGTGGATTGCACTAAAAATGTTATCACATAAGTCAAAATAGATAATATCTACAAAAATTCATCTCGATTGCAACATGGGAAAAAAGTAGAAATGGTTTAGATGTAGAGACTTTCCTAGACAGGGTTAGACATCATAATTTTATATTTCTTTCTCATATTTCTTATTTTTGCTTTCTCTTGTTTATTATTTTCTCTCTCCAATAAATATATATCAAAGATGGAATTTAAATTAGAGACGAAATTAATAATAGTAAACTCGAACTAGGTCATTTACTTTTCAGACATTAATGCCGTGTCAATCGAAAGACTTTCTATTTAGATGTCACAAAGATTGCAATCGATAGAATGCATTGGAGATCCTCTAAACACCAGGACAATTTATTAAGAAATAGTAATGTTATTTAACTCAAATGGAGTTCATCTCCGGAGTATGTGGCAATGAGATCACAGTTATATAGACTTAAGACGAACTTTATTTAGAGATTAACTCCATTATCGCCTTTATCTTTTTTGGATTCGCTTCGATACTTTGCTGGTTGACCATCTACCCCAAAAATTTTACAAACTGACCCCACGTGCATTAAGTGGGTTGAGCTTCATGCGGTAGTGTTGAATATGGCCCCTGCTTTTGAGCTCTTTACGAGCACATCATGCTAATAAACTTCCATGGTTTTGCCAATTAGGTTAGTTAATATTGGATTGACCAGCCAATCCTAGATCAACCTAGCATATTTAATCCCGAAGGACATTATCTTATAATAGTATAGACCTCGTTTAGTGATGAAGGAGGTGTGCTCTTAGTTGCCTTCATACAATGAAATCTAATTGTACACATGCATCGAAACTTAGCAGCTCGTGATTAGTTGTGGCATCCACTATCTGATTTATTCAGGGAAATGAGAAACTATCTTTTGAGCACTCTTTGTTTACATCGGTGAAGTCAATGGAAACCATCCAACCCCCATTGTTCTTTTTTACTAAGACTGAATTGGCCACCAATTTAGGTTATATTGCACAAAGATTCGTATCTCTCGTGGCTGAGAGGTCGATTTCGCTATTGTTCAGGTCGAACCTCGAGACTAATGTATAACTTGTGGAATGCAACCTTTGGTCAATTCCCCTATGTTTTCATGACTTTAGGTGAAAGCATCTATTTTCAAAAAGACTTCCAACCTTGATTTGAAAGTTCCCTCAACCAATGGCCAATAGCAATGCTCTCTCGGGTGCTCATCATTTACCTTGATCTTATTAAGTTCTTATACTGACTCAGTCTTTCTTCTATGGGACTCCAGACTGGGTTCATGTAGTGTCTCAAAAATTCAGATCATGTATTTAATTTCTAATGTAAGGAAAATGGGATTTTAATAATTGGTGAGGGACTCAATTAAGAAATTATGATTTATTTGAGGACTCCCAGAACAAAATTGGAAAATAGGACTAAGGTAGGGATGACAAATGAGTTGAGTAGTTCGTCGCTAGACTTGTCGAGGCTCATTCGAGCTCGTACTGAGGTAGGGATGGCAAATGAGTTGAGTAGCTTGTCAGCTCGACTTGTCGAGGCTCATTCGAGCTTGATTCAGGACGAGCTCGAGCATGAGCCAAATGGGATTTTAGAACAATGAGCCGAGCAAAGGTTGAGTCGTCGAAGTAGCAAGCCCACGAGCTGTCCAAACAAGTTCGCCGAGCTACAGTGACCAAACGGTCACTTTTGAAAAGTGAACATTTGGTCACTTATTAAAGTTTTGCAAAATTGTCACAAAACTTAAAATTGTGAAGGAGTGGTCACAAATGCAACTTGGTATTCCTTCTCCCGATATGAATTCTACAACACTAAGCACATGAATGGATTCAAAAGAAAATACTCGTGAAGGAATGATGAAGTTCGTTGTCGGTGTTGAGTTGTTGTTAAGCATGGTGGACAATGAACATTTCACACAGTTCGTGAAAAAAATATCCTCAACGAAGGTATGTTGATTATTTCATTAAACACAAGAAACAAATGATACATGATTTACAAAAATATAGTTGTATTATATCATTTGCATCAGATTTATGGGAAGGAATTAATTAAAAAGGTTCTATAACTGTGGGCCAAGCTATATAAAAAGGCGAGCTCGTGGGCCAAACTATATAAATATGGTGGTGTTATAAAAAGGTTTTTATAGGATCAAAATAAAAAAGGGGAGCTTGTGGGCCAAGCTCGGCTCAACCCTTGAGAGACGAGCCAGGAGCTCGGCTTACCATTGGGCCCGAGCCGACTCGGCTCAATCCATTGCCATGCCTAGATTGAGGACCAAACAGCTGGAAATTAGAAGTTGAGGGATTGCTTTAACCTTACCGAGTAATCCACTTTAAGAAGTAACTACGAGTCGGACATTTATAGTTTAACTTTTGCATGTAAGCTCATCTAAAGTTTGTGGAGAAATGTTGCGT